CACAGTTAGAAATCCCACAAGGAGAAATTAGAGAAAGCACATGGGGAAACAATGATGACAACCATGGATCTGGTTTTGAATTCAAGAACTTCATATGCAGAGTTCAAGATGCTATAGAATCCGGTGGCATTCACATACCTGAATTAGGATTTGGCCATCATCATCGGCACCGGGATGAAGATGCCGAGAAAGAAAAATCGAACTAATGAGATCTAGGGCTAGATTGTATGAAGAACAAACCCTAGCCACTTCTATTCGTCATCGAAATACTGAAGGAAAAAATCGAAAAGGAGGAAATTGACGCCGTCATGATAAGGCCAACACTTTTTGATGCCCTTGGAGAATTTCAAAGAGACTCAAATGAAGAATTTTGACACGTAAATAATAAAATTGGCTTGAAGTAAATTTGTCAAGACACAATTTAAATCCACCGAAAAATGGTTAAATTCATATCTCAAACTTCTTAATCACTAAATGTAACTTTAGTCGCTTAAAGCAAGCCAACGGAGGTTTAATGTTTAGTTAGTACACATTGAAATAAAATTCAAATCAATTTAAAAGAGCCTCAATACATGGCATAATTTATTGATTCGACCAACCTTTATAATTTCAAAATAGTTATATAATCTGGAAAGTTTTGTTTAAGATGTTGGTTCAGTTTATACTCTTTTAAAATAAATATTTTATTTTATCGTGTATATAAATGAATAGACTACCTAAAATAATATGTAAACTAGGAATGTAGAACAAAGTGACTTGCAGAAAAATAAATTTGGTCGAGATAAGAGTTGGACATTTTCTCCTTAAGATGATATTGTCCATATACACTAACGGACTCGACATTCATCTCCTAAATAAAATCGATCATATCATGTAATATTAGCACTCCAAATTAAGTAGGCAAGTCGACGCGAACTATGTTCGAAACTCCCATACTAAGCAAATGTTGACCTAGCTCCTCCATGACCATCATGTGCTCAAAAGGCGAACGTGTATTTCCGAAACTTACTGACTTGTGGACTCTCTATTTTAAAGACTACTGGTATTGTTTGATATTCAAACTTAAGCTCATGTTTAGTTTTGATTAAAATCAAATAACAATCTTAAGTTAAGGTCAACAATCAATTTTTAACCATATGTTTAAGGATTAATAGCAGGAAACATTCCTAAAAACATTTTTAATTGCAATATTCCCCACACCTATTGGAAATAACAGAAAACCTCCTATTTGAAACATTTTGTGCGAAATACTCCTATATCGGCCAATTTCGTTTGCAGAAATTAAACATGAATAATTATAGTTGTGATTCTAAACTTTTTTTTTTTTTTATAAATTACATCAAAATCTTTTATTTGTACTACTCATATTCTCAAACCTTTAAAACTTATCTTCCACCCCCACCACATCCCACCTCAAACTAAACAAAAAACCTACAAAACTCTTCCCCTATTTCTATTCCTCTCTCAATGGATCAATTGGAGCAATTTGATCATGACGCAGTGTTGTATGTAACTTAATAGAATTATGGTTGAACTGGTGGATTGAAGCACAGTAGATTGGTCAATTAAAATGGGGGAGCTGTCGTTTGTTCGCGCGAGAAAGTGGGCAAACCGTGAATCTGAAATTGCGACGATTTTTGGAGCAATTTATGAAATTGGAATGTTAACCATTGTTGAAGGGACATGATTAAGACTCGACTGATGCCAATTTGTTGATTCAATGTCACATGAAACATGAATTGAAACAGGCAAATTCGAGTTCACGACTGTCAGATCTATTTGATCATCATTAGAACGAAATTGTGCATTATTAGTTGATGTTAGGTCATAATTCTGATCGTCTGGATGGGGGCTATCAATAGGTGGTAGTACACGACCGTAGGCATCTTCGGAGATGGGTTTTCTGGCAGAAGAGGGGTGCGCGACATTGGATTTTTGGGCTGCGAT